TTGTAATAATCCTGCTGGTCTTTGATGTTCTGTTTTTACTTGCTGACATTGTAAACATTTAGAAATGAATTCCGCGATCTCCTTTTTCATACTTGGCCACCAAAAATTTTGCTTCAAATCTCTGTACATTTTAGTACTCCCTGGATGTATTGAAAATTTTGAGGCGTGTGCTTCTTCCATCACCTTCCGTTTAAGTTCTGACACATTAGGGACACACATTCAGTTTTGAAACTTGAGTACCGAATCTCTTACACTAAACCATAGTTTCGGTTTTGTTTCCAACTCATCATATATCTTCCTTAAAGTTCCATCTTCCATTTGACATAATTTGATCTCTTCTAATAATGTTGGTTGGGCTATCACCGCTGCCACCATGGCTCCCTGTTCATACATCACAAGATCTACCTCCATTCTATTCAATTCAATCACCAACTCCTTTTGCTCCGTAAACAAGTTTGCCAAATTGCCCACATTTTTTCGACTAAGCGCGTCTGCAACTGTATTGGCTTTACTCGGATGGTAATGAATTTGCAAATCATAATCTTTAATAAGTTCTAACCACCGTCGCTGCCGCATATTCAACTCTTTTTTAGTAAAAAGGTACTTGGACTCTTATGATTGGTGTATACTTCACAAGTAGTGCCATACAAATAGTGTCTCCATATCTTCAAAGCAAAGACTACTGTTGCTAGCTCAAGATCATGCGTGGGATAATTCTTCTCATGGGGTTTCAGCTGCTGAGAAGCATAAGCGATAACTCTTCCATTTTGCATAAGTACACAACCAAGCCCTTTGTGCGAAGCATCACTGTAGATTACAAATCCTTCAGTACCGGATGGTAAGGCCAAAACCGGCGCTGTTGTCAACTTTGTCTTCAATTCCTGGAAAAGAGATTCCCACTCTTCTGACCATTCAAATGTAATTCCCGTTCGAGTCAGTTGTGTAAGCGGCACAGAAATTTTGGAAAAATCTTGAACAAACCGTCTGTAATAGCCGGCTAACCCCATAAAACTACGCACTTCAATCATATTAGTAAGAGTTGGCCAATTCACGATTGCCTCAATCCTATGTGGGTCAATAGAAACTCCTTGCTTTGTGATAACATGCCCCATAAATGCCACCTCTAGTAGCCAGAATTCACATTTCTTTAGCTTTGCATATAGTTTCTTTTCCCAGAGGGTTTGAAGGATCAAGCAAAGATGATTCTCATGAGCTTCTGCATTCTCTGAATAAATTAAAATATCATCAATAAAGGCCACCACAAATTCATCCAAATAGGGCTTAAAGACGCGGTTCATCAAATCCATAAAGGCTGCTGGGGCGTTAGTCACTCCAAAGGACATAACCAGAAATTCATAATGGCCATATCGAGTTCGAAAAGCTTTCTTCTCGACATCATTAGCTTTGACCTGTAATTGATGGTATCCGGACCGTAGATCGATTTTGGAAAAGACTTGTGCCCCTTGAAGCTGGTCAAATAAATCATCGATCCTTGGCAATGGGTACTTATTCTTGATTGTTACCTTATTAAGTTCTCTGTAATCGATACAAATCCGGAGTGTTCCATCCTTCTTTTTTACAAACAAAACTGGTGCACCCCACGGAGAGACACTTGGACGGATGAATCCTTTGTCCAGTAAATCTTGCAACTGAATTTTTAAGGGGGTCTTAGAAATGGGTTGAGTTCCCGGTGCTACGTCAATTGTAAACTCAATCATGTGGATATTAACTGCCCTGGTAACTCCTCTAGAAAAACATCCGGAAATTCACAGACGACTGGGATCATGTCGATATTCCCGCTCCCCACTTGCTCCTCCAAAACACTGCATAAATACTCCTGACACCCTTTTTGAATTAATTTACAAGCCTTTGCTACCGAGATCAAATAAGGTGGAGAAGTTACTTCCTGTCCCTGAACCATAAATTTTGATTGGCTCAGAGGCTGAAAACTAATTTGCTTAGTTAGACAGTCTATAGTTGCACCATATTCACTCAACCAGTTCATTCCCAGAACAATATCAAAATACGTCATGTCGAGAGGTAACAAGTTATCATATACCCGAATATCTCCAAGGTGGAGTTCACAAGCGACATATATAGAGGTACAAGTCATAGAATCCCCCAAAGGTGAGGATACACATAACATATAGGATAACCCCTCCTCAGATTTATCTAAATTAGGAGCAAATAGTTTTGACACAAAAGAATGGGCAGAGCCAGAATCAAATAATACACAAGCAGAATGACCGTGAACCATAAATATACCTGACACCACCGTTGCCGCATTTTGTACATCACCCAGAACTAATGCAAACACCATGCCTTGTCTCACGGTATCTTTATTGTTAGTCGGTTTGGCCGGTGCCTTGGTATTGGTAGTTGGTGCAGACCCCACTGAACTGGTAGTAGTCCTATTACCATTTTGTTGCTACTTCCTCTAAGGGCAATCCCTTATCACATGACCCGTTTTCCCATACTAAAAGCAGGCTCCAGACTTCCGGTAGCATATTCCACGATGCTTCTTTCTACACTCCACACATACGGGAATTGGATCCTGACTAGGGGTAGACACATTTGAAGTCCCTGAATTTTGCTTCTTGTTTGGTGGAGTAGTTGACCCCTTCGACCATTGGTTATTTTGTCTTTTCCCCTTCCATTCAGAAATTTGATTTTGTGCAGCAATATTTCCTTTCGCTATGACGGCCCTCTCCAACACATCTACATAGGTAGGCAACTTCAACATATTGACTCGGTCCAGAATAGCACCCCGTAATCCCCCTTCAAATTTCTGTGCCATCTTATAATCCGTGTCTACCATATGAGGCGCGAACTGGGCTAGCTCCGCAAATTGGGCTTCATATTCAGCAACAATCTTGTTCCCTTGTCCGAGAGTTTCAAATTCAGTCACCTTCTTATCTCGCATACTTTGAGGGAAATATTTATCATAAAACAATTCTAAGAACCTGTCCCATGTCAATCCTTGATGTATAGTTCTCATAAGCATCCACTATCTCCGTGCCTCGTCCTCAAGGGTAAAGGCACCCAGTTGCACCTTTTGAGCTTCGGTGCAAGGGAAAACTTCAAATAATTTCTCTATGCCCAACACCCATGCTTCTGCTTTCATTGGCTCTATTCCTCCTTTGAAGGATGGAGGTTTCATCTTTTTAAACTCCTTAGTAAGGGTATTGGTCCGGTCTTCAGCATGGAAATCTTGTACTGTCGGTGGAGGTACCGGTGGCGGTGGCGGTGGCGGTTGTTGTTGAGGCTGTTGCTGTTGTTGCCGTAGGGTTTCTGCCATTTCCATAATCATTCTCTCCATCCTATCCAACCGTGCAAAAGTAGCATCTTCCGCATCTTTTGTCCTTGTCCTCACCATAGCATACACAACAATCAATTATATACAATAGACATAATTTTCAAATTGTTAGCATTATCAAAGTTCATATAACGTTGCCATCGATCTCTTCCATACTTTCAGGGTGTCATGCATGATGCCTAAATCTTTTCTAGACACCCTAAAGCTCAATCGATCTGTGTGTGAGATAGCAACTCGTGCTCTGATACCACTTGACACGCCCAAACCCGCCCCTAAAAGTTTGGGCATGACCCACTTAAAAACGGATATTTAACCTGGTATACGTAACATACGGGGCCTTATCGGAAGCATTAAATAGTAAAATAACATTGATACAAACAAACTCCATTGAGCTACCTCTATTATGTCAGGATCACATACATCACATATATCAGCATAGGCAAATAAAATCCAATAATATGTCCCTGAGCATCTGTTATATATACATATAAACAGTCCCAGCACTAAACAGAATATTTTCATTATGTGGCAAAAGCAATCCTTCTAAATTTTCACTTATATGATTGTACCTTTGAGATTAATTAATCTTTTCAATTAGATAGTATACTCGACAATTTCCAAAGCTAGCTTTGAAGGAAAGAAATGAGAGAAAAACGGGATCAGCTTGGCATTATCAATGGAACTTGGCCTGCCAATCTTTTGTCTCATCTTTTATGTTTGGAGAAAGAAATAGTAGTAGCAGATAAAGAGAAAAGGTAACTCAAATGACACATTCTGTGGCAAACTTTGTGTGTGCACGCATGCTTGTGTGTTTCTAAAAAAAGTATTACTTCATATCTCTACCTAGTTAAAATAGGTTCTTTCATTCAAATTCACTTTATCTACTATTGTGCAGGAACAATGAGAGATATCTTTAAACAAGGTGGCAACAATGAAAGCCTGAATAAAGATTTAGAACTACCACTGTTTGATTTTGGTACAATAATGAATGCTACCAGTTACTTTTCAGCAAGCAATAAGCTTGGAGAGGGTGGCTATGGCACTGTCTACAAGGTAAGCATTTAAATAAACTCTATGTAGTTATTGTCAAAGGTGGTAAGTTTTTTAATGCTGATAGGAAGTAATTAACATAAATATATATATATATATATATAAAGGGAGGTAAGGAAAGTAAGAACAAAAGTTCCTTTTTTCAAGGGTTGGATATTTTGTTTATAACAATTGCCAATCTTCAAGGTATATTGGAAGAGAGACAACAAATAGCTGTGAAGAGGCTTTCGAGAAACTCTAGACAAGGAATTGATGAGGTCAAGAATGAAGTTATATGTATTGCCAAACTTAAACCCCCACATTGGGCGACTAAACTGCCTTTTAGTCGCTAAAAGCCTTGTATTCGGCGACTAAACTCTTTTAGTCGGCAAAAGTCACCAATTTTGGCGACTAAATCCATTTTAGTCGCCATTTGTACTACTTTCAGCGACGAAAAAATTTATTTTAGTCGCGAAATCTGTATTTTCTTGTAGTGATGGATAGAAGTTTCAAAGGAGATGAGACAGAAGCAAACACAAATAGAGTGGTCAGAACATAGTACGAAGCTCTACTGTAACTTGATCTATGTAATCTGTAATGCACTTATAATGGTCCTAAATTTCTCAATTTGTTCGATGTCTTATTGCAGTGGCTACATGTCTCCAGAATATGCGATTGATGGGCATCTCTCAGTAAAATCAGATGTATTCAACTTTGGTGTTTTGGTTCTGGAGATTGTGAGTGGGAAAAGAAACAGAGGATTCTTTCATCTAGATTATAACCTCAACCTTCTTGGACATGTAAAAATCAAGGCTAGTAATATTATTTTGATATCTACATTAAATTAAAAGCAGTAGTCCTAATTTGTTTGCTTATTATTTAGGCATGGATGGTGTATAAAGAGGGCAAGTCCTTGGATCTACTTGATGAAGCTGTAAGGGACTTTTGTCATGTATCTGAAGTGTTGAGATCAATTCATGTGGGTCTATTATGTGTGCAACAAAGTCCAAAAGATAGGCCAACCATGTCATCTGTGGTTCTAATGTTGGGAGGTGAAGGTGCATTGCCTTGTCCCAAACAGCCTGGTTTTTTTACTGAAAGGAATCTAACTAAAGCTGATAATTTTTCTGGTAGAAATGCACCTACTTCAACCAATGAATTCACCATTACAATACTAGAGCCTCGATGACATAAATATGTATGTATATCTTTACGAAACTGTTTTATTCTGATGTATTGTATGTTGGAGACTCCTTGGTACAGAAGCCATTGGTATTGTTTATGGGGCTCTAGTTTTTTAATTTAAAATTTTACTTTATTTTTTTGGCATGGGCTGCCGGCATTGGAAGAAATAGTGTTAAGAGTTAGTTTTGGCAATCCCATCATTTATTTCAGTGTTAATCATGTTTTTATTTGAAATCATATTTAACATAGTTCATGTCATGTTCTTGTGTGTGTGAATCCCTCTCATGGACTTAAGCTGTGACTTACAGCTGATGTGATTTAACAGGCTGAAGATGATCCATGGTGTTTTTAATCGTTAAACTTGTGTGTGTCTCCATTAGTTATTTAGATCTAGTTTTTGATTTGTTGCCTTGCTTGGTTGAATTGATCATCAAGTATTTAATGTTTTGACTAAAAGATCACCATTTAAGAAAAAGAGAATTTCAAAGAGAAAGCAAAAGAAAGAATAGAGACATGCGACAACCAGTGCACAGTTTATAGGAACAACCAAAGGCTAAGCTAGAATATGTAACGCCCCAAATTAAATAGGATAAACTCGTCTCATAAGAGGAAATAAAGTTGAAATAGGGTACTTTCATTAATCAGAGTTGGTATACAAAAGGGACACGTGCATTATACATTCATAAATGATTCATCCTAAATCTACAGCATGTGTTACAAATAGTAATAAGAAATGAAAGTTAAACAGACATCTAAATACCCTAAAGGCTTACATCTTTCCAAGACTGTGCTTGGTTACAACAAAATGAGTTAGAAGCTCAATACAATTAAAGCCCTAGGCTTGTAACAAAATTTAAACACAAAATAATAAAATTGAGCCTTCAGCTCCACGGTCCCCCCAAGCTAAGTCCTTGGTGGAGGCATATCACCGACACCTGAAAATGGTTTTTCCAAATAAGGTGAGCCAAAACCCAGTAGAAACAATCTAACACAATATATGAATATTACCAAAGATATAAGTATGATGCACATATTTAATTCCCAAACGACAAATCTTTTACAGCCTTTCTATAACCATGTTCTATCAAACTCACATCTCAGTTCAGTAGTTATAACCACTTCATTTAGTCAACCAAACAAAGGATACACCCCATAGGCCTCTAATCAATATAATTATCATACAAAATACATTCACTTTCCATTTTATGGAAATTTTGTTCGTGGGAATCAGCACCCATCTATACACACAGTTTTTGGGATTTTCACCCTCAACACGCAGGCCAACTTAGTTTAATGGTGTCCATCTCCTTTCTCCTCCCAAACATAGAGTACATCCCATTTCTCATCCCAAAAATCATATATATACAATGTATATAAATTATATTCATATTCAATGATAATGGCCAAGAAGTTCGTTTTAATTTTCCTAATCCACATGCAATTTCTACAATAATCCTAGCTAAACAGATATACAATCTTTATAAGAGGTAAATTGTCCACATTTCCATAGGTGCGAGATAATATAGATCTAATTCCACTATTTATATAAACATCCATATAATTTCATATTCCCAATACCAATTCCATTATTTTTACAAAATAATTATTCAAGACATTTTAGTATAAAACCCCCTTTTTCTTAATCTTATCCCAAACACCAAAATCAACATTTTTAACACAACACAAGCTCATATCTACTTCCATAACTATTTCCAATATGTTCATTCGAAAACCCCTTTTTTGGATTTGAACCCAAAACCTAGGTTTGTTCAAAATCACAACAAGTCTCAACATTTCTTATCCATCAACAAATAACCAAGTTAAAACTCATAGAAGAGTGGAGAAAGTCCCTACATCAAAGTTAGAAGGCCAGCAAAGCAAAAGGAAACTTCAAAGACATTGAAACCCACATTTGTTCCGATGAAAAGAGAGCCCATGACGTGCTCTTTTTCTCAAAGGCACTAGGGTGGAGAACCCAACGGATCTAGGTGAAATAGTGGAGAGAATATGAGTTTCAGAGAGAGAGAGAGAGTGCCGATCTAGGGTTTTTTAGAGAGAAAAAGATGAAAAAGGGGCTGCTGCGAATTGATAAATGCACAGTTCGCTCGAGTACAAGAGTTGACGCTTAAGCATCAGACATAATAAGTTGTTTCGCTCGAGCGCAAGAAGTGACGCTCGAGCAAAAAATGCACACTTTCAGTAGTTTTACAGATAATAGACCAACGCTCGAGCACAAGAATGGTCGCTCGAGCGTAGAAAATACTGCTCGAGCATAGAATACACTCTTCCATTAGTTTTGTAGACCTGCAAAAGTACTGAGAGTTTGCAAAGCCCACTTGAGCGCAAGAAGTGCCGCTCGAACGGAAGAGCAAAAATCTAGGCAACATAAAGTTTGAAAACCAAGCAACCAACCTTTTCCAAACACAACGACAACAACCCAATAGCCAAACTCAAGCAAGAATAAGGGGGAAAAGACATGAACAACATTCAGAAATCATAAAATCCGAGTCCAGAATACAAGATGGGTCAGGTCAAAACCGGAATCGTTATAGAATGTTTACAGAGAACATGGATCATGACAGATAATCCATACACAGTTAGCCCAAGGTAATAGAATAGTCCACTTTCCTCTGGCTTTCAGAGAAATCCAACTATATTATGTAATACAAGGGTTCTTGGCCCTCTCCCTTCTCTCCTGTATCAAATTCTCTCTTTACCACACGATTATATTACAATCAATTCCTAGAGAATGTGACTATCGAGGTTGCACTGTTTTAATGGTAAGTTCATTGGCTAAACATGGTGCATACTTTCTGGATGAACTAGCAGATTCAGTAAAAAAGCCAGGTTGTTTAGGCCATGGCAATTCACCTTCACTTCCCAACATCATAACCATGGACGACATGGTTGGCCTATCTTCTAGATGTTATTGCACACACAATAGACCTACGTGGATTGATTGCAACACTTCAGATAGGCACATGAGTCCATTACAAACCCATCAACCAATTCTATTGAATTGCCTTCTTTATACAGTCTTCATGCCTAAACAATTCACAACAATTGGTATTAGCACCTTGAGTTTTTTAACACATGAGCAAATATTTCCATACTTGATACTCACATGGCCGAGGAGGTTGAAATGGTGATCTGGATGAATGATACCTTTGTTTCACGTCCTGCGCACAATCTCCAACACCATAACACCAAAACTAAAAACATCTGATTTTATTGAAAAAGCCCATCCGCCGCATATTCTGGAGACATATAGCCACTACAACAAAGCATTGAGTTATGAAACATATTTTAGGACAATTAATGAATTATTATTTAGGACATGTTAAGCGATATTCTTACTATGTGCCAACCACTATTCGTATTTCCTTCTGTCTCATTTCCTCCAAAAATTCTAGCCATGCCGAAATATGATATTTTTGGGTTCATGTCGATATCTAGCAAAATATTACTAGCTTTAAGATCTCTATGAATGATTCTCAATCTAGAATCTTGATGAAGATATAGAAGTCCACGCGCAATTCCATTAATAATGTTGAAACGCTTAGGCCAGCCCATTAATGTTCTTCCGCCTTCATCTACGCAAAGTTTCATATGAGTTAGTCCATGCTCAGGCGAAACGAATTTAACAAGAAAAGGTTCCATAACAAAAATTCAAAAAACTTTTGAGAGCCAAACCAAAAATAAGCAAGTCTAGGCTTTTGTTAGGCATGAATTCATAGATTAACATCTTTTCTTCTCTTTGTGTGCAACAACCCAGGAGCTTCACTAGATTTTGGTGTAGAAATTTGGCAATGCAGATGATTTTGTTATTGAACTCATCAAGTCCTTGATTGGAATATTTTGAGAGCCACTTAACTGCTATTTTTTGTCCTTCTTCCAACCTACCTTGAAAATTACCAATTTGATAATTAAAAAATATTCTTGAAACTCATGGATTGGACGACACCTACATTCTAACTAAATGAGGGTATTTAAATTGCAACCTTGTAAACAGGTCTGTATCCACCCTCTCCAAGCTTATTGTCAATTGAGAAGTTATTTGTAGAACTACCTATCGTAGCAAAGTCAAACATCAGTAACTCCATATCTTCCTTTTGGTTTTTTTCAGTGGAACCTTGTTTGGAGTTGTGTACCGGCCTTCCTGCAAAGTAGGTGATTTTAGTTTAAATGAGACAACAAACAAAGCTATATATTTTATGAGCTTTTTTTTTTGGTCGTTTTTGTGATTCAAGTTAACAAAAAGACATAGAATCCATTCACAAAAATGGATCACAGAACAAAGACGAAAGAGCAAATAGACACTCATTTGGATTACCTTCTATCTTCAACTGTGAATCCTTCTTCTTCTTCTTCTTCTTCTTCTTCTTCTTATTCTTCCGGATATACAACATTATGCTCAGACCCAGCAGAAGCATTCCAGTGAATAATGTCAAGGTCACTATGACTATCTCTCTTTTCTTTCCATTGAAGCCGGTTTGTTGACCTATCCAGTCTACAACCATGGAAGCACAAATTTGAAAGATTAATTGCTTATGCCTCAAGTACTACTATAGACTATTAGACTCCAAAAACCCTTGAACTCACTTTTTGTCAATCTGTAATTAGATAAACGTTATAGAAACTGAGGAATTTCTTGAGAAAGTATCATATTCTGTACACTAATTACCCATATTTTCTTGCATTAATAAACTATCAGTTGCTATAATTTTCATTAAATAGTAAGCAATGAAGTAACAAATGCATTAAAATTTCAACTATAATGTAAAAACAACTCATTTGTGTTTTGGGTTTGTGCGAATGCATACCCAGCTCAGAGGAAGCCATCCTTATGTAAATGTCTTGCCCGCCACCTTCATTGAATAGTCTAATATCAACCAAGTCATCATACCAAAGCAAACACCCACTTCCACCTCCTCTTACGTCCAAACTAGTATAAGCCATACAAGAACAATTCTTCAAGCACACCTCTCTGCATTCCCCAAGCGTCATCGTCCTATTACACCATGAACTCCGCATATCCGGCAATTTCACCCCTGAATACTGCAAAAATCCATCTCTATTCTTGCAATCCAACACTGTCCTCCGAACACACCGTCCCTACCAATTCGTCAAGTTCTAATCTTTCGGGCTTTTAGGCACAAATTTACTCAAACACCAGCAAACAGGGGATTTATCGACATCGCAACAACCATAAGCACCACACAAATTATAACTATCACAATTAACAGTTTGTGGTGCAT